AGGTCTTTAAAGCCACAATATCTATCATGAATCTCAAGTATATAAATATAAACATGGATCATTATATGAAGACAAGTGAACATAAGAAGTAAAAAATACCATTTTTTTTTTCTCAGTAATGTAAGGGTTAGGGTAACCCATCTTCCCCTCACTTCTTCCACATGGGTAACCAACTGCCTTCAAACCATTTACAGAACAGGACATCCTCCCAGTGATATATGCTGACACCTGTCTTGTACCAAGATTTCACAAATGTGTGGGAAATTTATGAGTTTTTACTGTCTTATACTCTGATCAACAGCCACCTGATTTTAATTATTAACGTGTATAAGCCTGATGGGTCTTAGAGAAAGCTTTTCACTACCTTGATTTGGTTATTCTTGGCTCTTAAGATTTGCTTATAAATTTTTTTTTTTTTGGTCTTTTTAAAGCAGGGTCTCCCTGTAGCCCCAGCTGGCCTGGAACTCCCTTTGTAGACCAGGTTGGCCATGAACTCAAAGAGATCTATCTGATGCCTGCTTCTGCCTCTGCCTTCTGAGTGCTGGGATTAAAGACATGCGCCACTACACCCAGCAAGATCAACAAGTGATTTCATTTAACAGTAAATGGCAGTAAAATTTTGACTAGACATTAAATTTATGAGTCTTCTTAATCAGCTCAAGTATAACCATTCACTTTGGAAATCTTATTTTATGTCCTTCAAAAAGCTACATAATATTCTCTGTAAGATCTTACAAAGTTTATCAGCTCAATTCTTTGGTGTTTTACTATTTTTTCCTTTTATGAGACAGGGCTTCATGTAACCAGGGCTGACCTTGGACTCACTATGTAGTCAAGACTGGCCTTGCAGCTCTGATCCTCCTGCTGCCACTTCCCAAGTGCTGAGGTTGTATGTGTATGCCACATTTTACTGTACTCACCTAGTTGTGTACTTAGGACACTGAACCTAGGTTTGTAAGTTGCCATTTCCTGTCTTTTGCTATTATTACCTATTTAGGATCTCAACACTAAATCAACTTTGCTTTTTTTTCTATTTTTTGAAATAGTGCGTGTAAGATGGTTGTTAGCTGCCATGGGGGTGCTGGAACTCGAACTGGGGGTCCTTTGTAAGAGTAGTTAGTGCTCTTAATTGTTGCGCCATCTCTCCAGTCCCTACATTCAAATACTTGATTAGCAACTTTTAAAAAATCAAATTTCCTGAGATGTTTTCAATCTGAAAGTAATGCCTTAATTTTTCCCTTCAAATCTTTGGCTATGCAAATAACTATCTCTGAATACAACATATCTGGACATTGGTTATTGCTTCTGGTCTCAGGGGAAAGTGAGAGGGGAGCAAAGGAAAGACCACTAGCAGGAATTCTATCTGTAAATGAAATCTAAAAGCAGAATCAGCCTGTTATCCACACACAGTCTTAATTTTAATTGTAAGATTTCCTTGCCAAAATATTAGAAAAGTTCATTTTCCGAGGCCCCTTTTTGCAAGTTAGCTGCAAATTCAAGACTCCCTAAGCCATAACCTAAATAAATTTGCAGCTGTCTGCATCTTTCAACTTTCATATACTGTGTACCTCAGCCATAGTAGACCACTTGCATTCCTAGATCATGTGCAATTCTTCCAGTTAGAAACCACCAAGTACCCTCTGTGTTTATACAGACATTATTTTTTTTAATTTGTTTTTCTTTTATGTGTATGAGTTTTCTGCTGCATGTAACCGCATCTGTTTCATGCAATGTCTGCTGAGGCCAAAAGAGAGCATCAGATTCCCTGAATCTGGAATTACAGGTGGTTGTTAGAAAACATGTAGGTGCTGGGAACTAAACCCTAGTCCTCTGCAAGAGCAGCCTGTGTTATTAACTGCTGATCCATCTCTTTATAGATATTTTATAGATATTTTATTTTATAGATATTTTAGTCATCTTTTAGCACAGTGCTTCTAAAACTCTTGTGTGGTAAAGGACAGTAGCTGCTTTTTTTTTTTTTAAATTTCCTATTCACTCTAGATTCTAACATGGAAAAAATTCAAAATGCTACAAATATAAAATATGAAAAGCTTTTAAAATGCAAGTCTCAATTTATTATTATAATCAGAGCACATTTTCAAATTGCTCTAAAAGCTTCTAAACTGTCTGAATCTCTGTACTTCTGTCTTCAGAAGTCATTGACTAACATTTCTACTGACTCAAGGTTCAACAAGAAGCACAGTATAATTTTTCTAATAAATGTTATTTGCTCTAATTATGTCTTCTTAAAAATCATTAAATAAAAGTGAAATGAATCTTTTAAAAAGAAGATATTCAAGACATGAAAATTTGGTTTGAATGAATAGTTAGGAAATTACAGAATAATTAGAAAAAAATGTTAATAGGAAATAACTACAGAAAAGGCAGAAGTGATAATGATAATACACTTGTGAAATCTTTGTTAACTATGTGTTATGAAATAAGAACAGTGAAATCAGGCCAGGAATAAAAAAAAGAAATTCTTTGGAGTCTTCCTGGTATGTACATTCATATCTTCTGTCATTGCTAATGAACTTTTCCAAAGTGTGTATTATATAGTAAAACAAGGGTGAGGTTATCATGATTAGTTAAGACATTTAAAAAGACTTATATCTTCATTTCAACCTTATTAATTTCAACTTGTAGGAAGATTAGTATATATACTAGGGAACACACACACACACACACACACACACACACACACACACACACACGGAGCTGCTTCCCCCTTTTTTGCATGTAAGCAGGCAAGCAAGAGAAACTGCCAGCTTATGGCAACTTATTTCTCATTTCAGGATGCTCAAATATGTGTGTTCTTTGGCAACAATATAGTAATTTAAATACTTTTTTAATATGTTCTCAATACATATGTGTCTTGCCAATTAACATCACAGAATTAAAGTATCCAAGGACAGGAAATTTATTTTTAAGATGTCATCTATTCTAAGCACTTTGGAGAACACACAGCTTTCCACTTTCTGCTCCCCTCTACATTCAAATCAGTCATCTTAACTCTACACACTGGGCCATTCAAAGACCCCTCAGCCCCATGTTTACAGTTCACTATTACACTACTTCTCAGGCTTCTCTTCTGTGGTGCTAAAGAACAGGAGTTAGAGAATATAGAGACTACAGTGTTTGAGTGTTCTGAGTTTGTTAATTTATACTTAATCCTCATGTTGCTCTAATGGATTCACTATTATCATAGCCAAACTACAGTAATTAAAACTCTGAATGGCTGCTACTTGTAAAAAGAACCATAGAGTTAAGATTTCAACCATAAGTATGTCATACACCAAAGCCTATGTCCTAGTCCTGTAGATCTGCATCTATAAAAGGAGGAGATATATGAAGGGACAAAGTGTAGACAGCTAATAAAAAAAAAATTTTAAACCCCATGCTTTACAATGTCAAAATGCAAAGTACTGATACATTTCTCTTTAAGCCTTATGTTGTAGTTATCTTTGACCTTTCTGTCTTACAGCCTAATAACTCAATATTTCTCATAATCATAGCTCATGAAACCTAAACTTAGGGACCAAATAAGGGAAATTATTTCCATGTTTCAATCTAATTGGTCTCATAAACTGAAGAGACCATCTTCTTAAAACAATTGACTGCTGTGCTCATCTTCAGAATTCCAACACCAATGCATTCTAGGGTCATTTCAAGGCCACTTTTTTCCCCCCAGCTTCAAGAAATGACATGATTCCTAAAGTATGCTAATAAAACCTACTTATCTGTCATCTCCAGACAAATTCATTATTTGGCATCTTCCCCACTCTCTTAAAACGCTCTTCCGGCCTTCTTCTATGGAGGAAGATATTTCTTTTGCAAATAAACTCTACTTTATATAAATTCAACATGGTCTAAACATCATGCAGGCATCTTCTGAAAGAATACTGCCTTGTATTTATCACATATACCAACTTCCTTCTTTCCTCAATTATATCATTAAAACCTACATGGTAAGTCACCTACTTATTCCCCATCTAAGTGCAAAAACTGAAGAGCAAGGACTGAATTAATGTTTTTGGCTGCCTACTATAAAACAATTCTCCTAAGCACTGCGTTACTTAGTCTTCAAGTTGCTTATTAAGAGTCTCTTACCATGTACTTCATTTTGAAAAGACATGAGAACAATCTGAATTGTTTTTTTAATAAACAATTAAAAATGAAATACAGGGGACAGGAGCGATAGCTCAGTGGTTAAGAGCACATATTGCTCTTGAAGAGGACCTGAGTTGGGATTCCAGGACCAGTGTCTGGTGATTTACAACCACCTGTAAATCCAGCTGCAGGAAACCCAAAGCTCTTTTCTGACCTCTGTGGGTACACACACTCATACAGGGCACATACCCCAACCACATAGACAAACCCATACAATACACATAATTAAAATTTTTTTAAAATCTTTAAAAAATTTAGAAGTTTGTATTGCATTTTTTTTTTTTTTTGGTCTTTTTGAGACAGGGTGTCCCAGTAGCTCCAGCTGACCTGGAACTTACTATGTAGACCAGGCTGGCTTCGAACTCACAGAGATCCCCCTCCTCTTCCTTCCGAGTGCTGGGACTAAAGGCGTGAGCCACCACGCCCAGCTGTATTGCATTTTTTAATTTCTCTGATTTATATTATTTAAGCTAATTAAGGGAAGAAAGATGTTTCCCCTATGACATATGACCATAAACAACATATC